GGGTCTCTAAACACAGTGACCCCAAAGGATGGAGAATTGCCCCACAGGGCTTCCTAGGCTGTAATTTCCACAGGAGCAGACTGCCACGTCTTCTTGTTCGTATGGCTGAACTTCGAGGCTCAAATCTTATCTACTCTGCCACCAGGGCTCCTTGTGGTACCTTTAAGGCACAACCCCAACCCAACCCAACCCAACCCACTGCCATTAAGTCAATTCCGACTTTGAGACAGCATACAACTGCCCCGTTGGATTTCCCAGGCTGTGAATCTTTATGGGAGAAGACAGTCTCTGGAGGAGCAGCTCGTGGGATCGAACCGGTGACCTTGAGGTTAGCAGCCCAACGTGTAACCCCATATGCCAGCAGTGGGGGAGGGGGGCAGTGGGGACTTGGTGATTGGGCCCCTGATCCCGTGTGAGATCAGTTTCAGCAGAGGAAAAAGTGGCTAAAGACATCCTTGTTCTTCTCGCTCTTCTTTCTCGAGAAGGCGCTGGAACAGGTGGTCGGTTGACGGCTCTAGGTGTCCCCGCAGGTGTGGTCCCGTTGGTTCTGACTCCACTTGTAGCAGCAGAAAGAACGCCGCCCGGTCCTGACCAAGCTCACCACGTTCCTCTGTCCGAGCCCAGGGTCAGCCACTGCGTGGATCCCACCGTCCCCGAGGGCCCTCCTCTTTGTCATTGACCCACGACGATACCTGGCAGGGAGGGTCCTTCTCCGGGACAACACGTCCAATGTACAGGACACAAGGTCTCGCCACCCTTGCCTCTACGGAGCACTCAGGCCGGACTTCTTTCAAAGCAGAGAAAGCCCTGGAGACATCCTGAGATGAAACCTCGGCGGCTTGGGAATGCTCGTGGGAACGTTCCCTTATTGCTCACTTCCATTTCCCCACGAACGGAAGGTGGGGTTTCTCAGATCTGGCTGGTTTGACAGGGGAAGAGAGTGGCTCATGGAAAGGGAGCAGCAGGAGCAGCGGTAGGCAGGGGTAGGCCCAGAAGTGGATGTGTGTGTGGCGGGGAGGGGAGAGGTGCCCCTAGAAAGGTACAGGGAGGCCTGGTAGCACAGTGGCTAAGCGCTTGCTGCTGTAGTTGGGCCATTGGCAGCGGTGACTCCTTGGGTGAAAGATGTGGCAATCTGCTTCCAGAAAGACCACACCTTGGCAACCCGAAGGGGCACCTGTCCTGCGTGGGTGCTCGGCGCCAGAGTCAAGCCGACGGACAACGGTCTTTCTAGAAAGGAACGCGGTGAAGAGGTACGTGTTTCAGACTATGGAGGGATGGCGAAGGTGGATTGGTGGCGTAGTGGGCTAAGCACAGATGAGTCTGCTAACTAAAAGGTCAGCAGTTTGAAACCACCAGCCGCTCTGTTGAAGAAAGACGAGACTTTGTACTCCTTTAAAGAGTTACAGTCTCGGAACCCCACGGGGCGGCTGGGGGCAGTTGTGCTCCGATGGCTATGCGTCAAGTCAGGACTTGATGAGTCTGGGTTTGGGGAAGGATGCCTAGTGGCGTCGTGGTTAAGAATTCGCCTGCTGAGTCAGACCCATCCCAAGTCCTCAGGAGAACATCCTAGCCATCTGGCCCTGTAGAGATGTCCAGCCCCCGAGATGCTATGGGGCCGTTCCCTGTCCTGCAGCGTCGCGGAGCAGGGTTCAAGCAGCCAGTGTCAGTAGAGTCCAGGTGGGAAGATGGTGAGGTTTCAGCAAGAGGAAAAAAAGTCTGGTGGTTCCCCGCAGCCTGTGGAGCGAGCCATTCAGGAAGGCGCCGGGGGGCGTGCGGAGCAGTAATGCAGCTCAGCGGAGACTCGCAAGCAAGTTACAGCACAGGCAAGCGCAGGGGTTTTGTGACCTTTCGACTCTGACCAACTGCAGGTTTGCAAAGGGTCCCAGGGATTTTCTTGAAGGCAATAGGTTAATAGCTTTTCTGTCAAAATGATCAGTCCACAAATATGAATTACAAGCCCATTAGTGCCACGAGAACGGTTTTTCTCTGAAGCAGAAGACCACCGGTTGAGTGTCTTTATTGTGCTGTTGATGTGAAGTTTCCTGTCATCCGGGAGAGCCCCCATGTGAGGAGCTCTATGAATGGACCCATGGCAGTGGTTGTTTTGGGTTTGTGTTTTAGAGTAGAACTGCCCATGGGGTCGTCCCCCCCCCCATGTGACCTTTACGGAGAAGGCAGAAAGCCAGGACTTTGGAGCTGCAGCGCCAAACTTTTGGTGACCCCCTGAAGCATCAAGCATTTATGCCATGAGACAGCCTCTGGCTACCGGTCAGTTCCTAAAATGATTCTATGGTTGGTGACTCTGTTACATAGTGCCTCTTCTTCTTATCAAGATGATTGCCCCTAATAATTGATTAGGGGGCGGCGTTGGTGATTTCTTTGTGGATGTTACAAACTGTGTGATGCTCACATCCATTTTTTAAGGCTGCCAGTAGTTTAGAAAAACACAAATTGGATTCACCTCTAGCTAAGGGCTAGAGCCCGGGATGTAAGCTCTTCCCTGGTCCCCTTTGAGCCTCTGGAATGTCACTCTACTCTTAAGACTCCTTCCTTGGTTTTATTTTTGCTCCCTCTCACAAATCCCAGAAGCCGCATTAAGTATCTTTCTTGGAACAAGAGAACATATGCGTATCAAATATGTCACCACTGAAAGGACTTGAAGGGCTGTAGGACTTGGAGTAAATTATTCAATACAAAGCATGGCTGTAGGTGCCAGGCCACAAGACCTTAAAAAGCTTCTTGAAAGCATCTTACCAGCTGCCGTTTGAGAATACGGGGCAATACAAACTCCATTTGCTGGGTCCCCGTCTGGATTAAGCCTCTGGAGAATCCCTCTGACAACTGACCAGGGATGTGAACAGCCTTGTTATCAGAGTGCTTCGGAAAGTAGTTTGACGCAGATGTCTTATGATATGTAAACTGTGTGCCAATAAGACTGTTTAAAAATGCAGATGTACAACCAACTCTTTGCTATGGAGTCAATGCTGACGGACAAGGACTCCCTGTGTCTTCCAAGACTGTCACTGTTTACACGAGTAGAGAGCCCGGTCTTTCTCCCGTGGAGCTGCTAGTGGTTTCTGACAGCCAACCATGTGGACCGCAGACCATCCAGGACTGACCTGTAAAGTGACTAAATATGTGCTTTCCTATTGGGAACTTGCATTTGATACTTAATTTTGAATTATTAAATTGTTATTGTGAATTAAAAAAATGCAGATGCAGTTAGGTTAAAATGGTAACATTATCATGTTCTTCCTTTGGACTCATTTAAAATTTGTCCTACTCTTTATTATTTTCTGCTTTCTTTTCGACTGAGGTCTTTCTGGTTGGTTATTGTTTTTTGGGTTTATTTTTGTGAAATCCAGGTTAGGTAAATCTGTAAACAGTAACTGTACTAATAGTTATTTAGGGTTATGGCAGGGGAGGTTGGAGAGAAATGGGAAGCTAATAAGAAAATGTTCTAAAATCGACTGTGATGATTGCACATCGTTAATGTTTAAACCACTGAATTGTTTGTCAATAAAACTCAAGACTTTTAAAAAAACCCAAAAACCTCAAGACTTAAAAAACAAACTAGGCAATAATGTGGAGCGCAGACAGCCAAATGTGCAAAGCAGAATTACAGCAAAAGGAGACGCGATTGGGTGTTAGATGTTCACCTCAATTCTCTTAAGATGACACCTAGCATAACTATGCCTCAGAATTTAAGAAAAGCATGTGTCCTTCCTAGTAATCTTGGGAAGCACCCCAGTGATGCAATGGTTAAGCGCTTGCCTGCTAAGCAAAACGCCCAAGGTTCCATCCCACCAGGTGCTCTGTGGGAGAAAACCCAGCAATCTGCTCCCCGAAATATTGCCTACCTCCCACCCTGCTCTGCCGGGTCGCCGTAAGTCACAATGCGCTCAAATGACAGAGGTAGTATCTCAGAAGGGCTCTTTCCACGGCGCAGCAAACACCATTACAAACCACTCCGGGTGGGAGTGGAGGGGAGTTCTAGAGCAGTGGTTCTCAACCATCCGAATGCTGCGACCCGACCCTTTCACCCAGTTCAATTTGTGGTGACCTCACAACCATAAAATTATTTTTGTTGCTACTTGATCACTGTCATTTTGCTACTGTTATGGATCGGGTGACCCCTGTGAAAGGGTCGTTCAACCCCCAAAGGGGTTGAGACCCACAGGTTGAGAACCACTGTTCTAGAGCCAGGCTACCTGGTTTCAAATCTGAGGTCACCACTTGAGCTGGGGGGGCATTGGCCAACCGAGTTACTTACCTGTTTCTTCACATGAAAAATACTAACAGAACTGACCTCACGGGACTTTGAAGATGTAAAATAAGTGACTGTGTTTGGAATGATGCTGGACATTTTACGTGCACCGGAAGTTAGTAACTTTTCATTATGTCAGCCCTAGAGTTGTAAGACAGGTAAAGCAGCTTCGGAGGATCTATGCCAGGGCTCTAGGCCCAAGCTGGCGAATGAGTAAGAGCTGGCTTCTGGAAGCCCCGGCTAACAAGCAGCCCGAGAACAGAGAGGGGCCTGGAGAGCGGAGTAACTGCTGAGTAACACCCATGGAAGGCTGGCCTGCGGATGGAAAACAAAACAAAAACCCACCCTAAACGGGAAGCTGCAGTTTTGATGCCACACAATGGCTCATCCTCTGAGCCCTACTCCACCAAGGTGGTGCAGTGGTCAAGCCAGTGGCCCCTAGGAAGTGTGGGTTGGAGCCCACCAGCTGCTCCGGGGAAGAACGGTGGGACAGTCCGCTTAGGTAAAGATGATAGCCTTGCACAGTTCAGTGGAGCTGGCTGCTCAACGCTGTCTTACTGGGGTGTTTCCCTGGTGACTCCCTTTATTTTTTAAAGAGCCAGGGAAGGCCTACTATGGCATGCACTGGGCTAGGCTTTTTAAGTACACCTCATTACAAATAGGGTATCGTTCTCCCCATACTGCTTCAAACCACCACAGTCAAATAGGCGCCCCCAGACATTCCCAACACAGCTTTAAAAGATTAGCTCTATCGTGAATTTAATGGAAAGCAAAAGCAGGAGCCCAATACAATTTCAAGCTTTGAAATACCAAAAACAAGTAAACTTTGGGGTTCTTGAGCGGGAAGGTATTTGGTAGGAGCGAATGAGGAGTCAGCCAGCCTCAGTCCCACTGGACACTCCTCTCCTCTTCTGGAAGGATACTCCAGTTCGGAGAGGCCACATCCCGGGCCAGCCAGTTGAAATCGTCAACGTCGTTCCAGTGATTTTTGCTCCGATTTAAACCAGAGCCCTGGAAGTCCTCGTCGATGCCGGGATAGGTCCAGGTGTAAGGGGCGAACTGGATCCCGCTGCAGTCCTCTATGATGGCCCTGCTAGTCACCTGCAGGAAGATGCGGGTGTCGTTCGTCGTGTGGACACGGAGCTGTTGGCAGGCCACGGCCAGCACGCAGTCACTGCAGGCATCCAGGAACACGGAGGTGGACACCGGCCCACAGAGCACCGTGCAGTTTCGGGCCTTGGTCAGCCGCAGGGTGTTGGGATTGCCGAACAATCTGATCGTGCAGGAGCTCAGCTCAGTCAAAAGGACGTCGCGCTGGTGCAGCTCTTCCGCTCTCTTCTCCAAGACTTGGGACTCCAGATTGGAGAAGCCACAGACCGAGCTGGAGCCCAAGAAGCCTCGCTCCTCCTTCGAGCGCGGCTGGGCGACCATGCCTTCGGCCACTGGGGCGCCAGGGGCCGCGTCCACTTGGGTGACTGAGGCGGCATCCTTCCTCCGGGTCTTGAACGCGAAACGCTTCTTGGGCTGCAGCTCCCGGCGCCGCTCGGCTAGGGTGGCCTGCAGCCGAGCCAGCGCTTCCTGTCCCTGACGCAGGTCGTAGGCGGCCAGGAACAACACCGAGTCGTTGACCAGTTTCTGCAGCCCCTGGAGGCGGGCGGCCGCCTCCTCCAGCCGCTCGGCTGACTCCCCGCTCTGCAAAAGCTCCTCCACGGCGGCTCGCTCCCGGGAGAAGGTAGCGGCGAAAAAGTCGCCCTTCTCTTCCTCCACCTCCTGGTTCTGTCGCCTTTGCTTCCGCCTTTCCAGCTCCAGTTGCCGCTCCTGTTCACGTCTCTGGAGCCTCTCGGGCACCAGGCTCTGGTCCCGCTGGGACCCCAAGTCCCCGTTCCCGACGGCGGCAGCGGAGCAACTAGCAGTCTCCATCTTGACCCAAGGCTTCCTTTCCCCTGCCTTCCTTCCTCTGGGCGCGCCCTCCGAGGGGCCTCCCACCAACGCGTCCTGTGATTGGCTACTCAAGATGACATCAGGCCCACGGCCTTATCCTCGTTGCCCATTGGCTTCTTCGCGTCGGAGAGGGCGGGGCCGGGGGCGGGGCCGGCTGACAAGGGGGGTGGAGAGACAAAGGTCCTGGTGGATGGGTGGGGTAGGAGGCAGGCGGGGGAAGCTTTTTTTTTTCTCTTAAAGGGGCAGGACTTGTATCCGGGATTGTGGGGTGAGTTGCAGCAGCGGCAGCTGCACATGTGGGTTTGTTTATAAGAACAAGGTTAGAAACTCGCAGGCCTCCCCCTCCCCCCAGCTCCTCCCTGCTACCACCTTACAGGCCGGAGATCCGATACTGGGGGAGAAATGTGTGTGCGTGATGGGTGGTGGGACAGGTAGTGGTGAGGAAGATGGAGGGGGGGCGGAGAATATTGCACCGCCCGGCCCGCGCCGGGGGAAGCGGCAGCTGGAACAGCTGGCTAGGGAACTGCTTGCATGCCGCTGCTTTTTCCTTTTGCCTTCCACCACCCCTTCCCCCAACCCAACCCATCCCTGCTACCCCGCAACCCTGCTCCTGCGCGCACCCCGTCCGCTGCGGCCTGGGAGCTCCGGGTGCCCGCAGACAGACTCTCGGGCGGGAGGAGGCGAGGGACACCGCGATGGGCGAGATTAGGTTCCTCCCTGCACCCAGTTCTGGGGTCTCAAAACGGATTACTATTTTTTATTTTTTTTGTCCAATTGCTGCAGTCGGAGGGGTGGGGGCAGGGAAGGGTGCGACTCCACACCCCCTTCCTCTTCCTCCTACGCCCTTACCCCCCTTCCCGGCCACTCCCTGGGCAGCTGGGCACCGCTGGCCGCGCTGAAGGGAGACCCCAGCTCCGGCTCGACCGCTGTCTGCGGGCGATCGGTCTTTAGGAAAGCTGGGGGGGGGGGGGGGGGGGGGGGAATGTGACATTATTTTTAGAGGTGGTGGGAGGGATTTGTCACCGGAAGTGAACGAGCCCAGCCTCGAGTCCGGACGCACGGGAGGTGTGAGCCGGCCGCCCCGCGGCGCAGTCCTTGCTGGCAAACGCCCAGAACCGCGCGGGGCGAGAACCCGCGACCCCGCAGGCCGCCCTGTGCGCGCATCTGCTGCGCGGAGCTCGGGCCCAAGCGTGCCCGCCCGATCTGCCTCCGCGCCCCCACGCCCAGCCTCCATCGTTTTTCTTAATTGGCGTATTTGATTGCCCGGGAAACTGTCTCATGAGACGCCACCGGTGGATCTGCGTGTTGATGCAGAGGCAGCTCGGAGGCCGTGGGAGCGGTGTTGAATTAAATCTGGATTAAGACCGAGCTCCCATTTTCCACGCCCCATCCATCCTCCATGTCTTCCCATCGCAACAAATTAACAAAACCAAACCCGGGCTGTGCCAAGCATTTCTCCCAGCAGAGTCCGCAGTGGTCACCCGTGTGGCAAATTTCACGCCGGGTCAGGGGTGGGGCCCCGGGGCTTGGGTGTCGTCAGTGTGCGCACCCCTGATGGGGAAGGAGGTGCTGAAAAGAATGTCTTCGTGCGTATGGTTTCGTCTCGTTTCCATGAGCATTGGATCATGGGGAAGACGGTTTCAGAACAGGTTTATTTCGCAAAGCTACGCGTGTGAGGCTGGAGAACGTCATCGAGTTGGGTTTTTGGTGCCAGTCCGTTTTCCTAGCTGCGTTCTTTGACTAAGTGTTGGTTTGGCCAAGGAAGGTGTAGAGAAGAATTTACTAGGAAACGAAATCTCACTACTCCCCTTGAGTTTCTCGACAGCTGAACCTGGCCCACTTATGTTGAGCATGTTTGTAGCCAAAGAAAGCCTCTATCGTGGATCTGGGGCAGAGGTTCCAAGTGGTGGCAGTATCCAAAATGGAATTAGCCATCACTGAGCCCTCCCCAGAACTTAATTTCTGTTCAACTGATTTGGGCCTGGAGTCCAGCGGACCTTAGAAATTTCTGAATATTTTGAGCTGGCTAATTCACTCTTTAAAAAAGCACAGCAATGGACAGTGTGTGTGTGTGTGTGTGTGTGTGTTCACAGTTTGGGGGCCTGAGTGCCAGTTCTTTACAACCCCAGCACTGCTGTGGGCTGAGCGCCGTGGTCAAGCCAGGATATAAAGCTTGGCAGTAGGGCTGCAGAACAGGTGGAGGGTGTGACACCCTAACCTTACTGTAGGGCATCTGCACCCTCTTTCTGGCATTTGAGGGCGGTCAATTCAGACTTCATCCTTGAAACAGAGCCCAGCGAGCTCAGAGGTAAGTACCTGTGCTGATAAAAGGTTGATTCACGGCAGCCATAAAAGGACCAAAGGCAAGCAGTGCTGAGGCCTGAATCCTGTATTTAAAGGTACCTTAAAGGGCGTGTGAATCCAAGTGCTAACAGCTCTCCTTGAGACATCTTGGAAAAGCTTGAAAAGAGTTCTAAGGTGTTAAGGTCTTGAAACAATTATTAAGCACTCATTTAGATGTTAAGGTTCTGTGTGTTAGGGCTTCTTGGTTTTGTTTTTTAACTTCTCGAGAATTTCAGGCATACATAAAATGGAAATGTTAAAAGAATGTGTGTATGCCCTTCACCCAGCTTCAACTCACCATATTGTTCCTTTCAAAACCCCAGGCACGGCCTTATCCCACCCAAATTGTTTATTATTTTAGCCACCAAAATTTATATTCACCCGCCTTCCCGCTCTGCTTGAGCACCTTAGGGACCAAATGAATCTTTGCGACCCAGTGCTGTGATAGGAACCTGCATGTTACAACATAGCCCGCCCCGGTCATTTTAAAGGAGAACCCCAGGCCTTGTGTATTGCTCTTGTTAGATGCCATTGAATCGGTTCTGACCCACAGCGACCCTCATCCGACAGAAGGAAGCGCTGGGCCAGCCTCACATCTTGGTTAGAGCCCAGTGTTGCAGCCACTGTCAATTCCTCTTGTGAAGGGTCTTCTTCTTCGTTCTCGGACTTTCTACTTTACCTGACATAACACCCTTTTCCAGTAACCGGTCTCTCCTGCTAGCTTGTCCAAAGTCCTTGAGATCAAGTCTCACTATTCTCCCCTCTAAGGTACATGCTGGCTGGACTTCCTCCAAGACAGACTTGTTTGTCCCTCTGGCCCTCCGTGGTCCGTTCACCCCTCTTCTCCAGCACCGTAATTCAAATGCGTCAGCCCCTCTGCGGCCTTCCTTATCCCCTGTCCAACTTCCACGTGCATGTGAGGAGACCGACAATACTGTGACGTGGCCCAGGCTCACCGTAGTCTTCAAAGTGACATCCTGCTCTGTAACACTTTATTATTATTTTTTTAAATTTTAATCATTTTACTGGGGGCTCTTACAGCTCTTAGAACCTTCCACACATCAACTGTATCAAGCACATTTGTACATGTGTTGCCATCATCCTTGTTTTCTTTGTGATTGTTATCTGTTGTGTTACTCAGCTGAGGTTCATCCATCGCTGTCCCAGATCTGGCCCTTGGGAACTTTTTTTTTCTTCCTTTTTAAAAGCATTTTATTGGGGGCTCGTACAATTCTTATCACAATCCATACATACATCCATTGTGTTAAGCACATTTGTACATTGGTTGCCATCATCCGTTCCAAAACATTTTCTTTCTGCTTGAGCCCTTGGTAACAGCTCCTATTTCCCCCCCTCCCTCCCCCACCCTCCCCTTGATAGTTCATAAATTATTTTTATTTTCATATTTTACACCATCCGCTGTTTCCCTTAACCCATGTTTCTGTTGTTCATCCGCCCGCCACGCCCCCACCCCCGTGGGGAGGGAAGTGTACATTGATCATTGCAATTGGTTCCCCCTTTCTCTCCCTTCTCCCCCTACCTTCCCCCTACACTCGTGGTATCAATACTCTCATGATTAGTTCTGAGGGCTTTATCTGTCCTGGATTCTGTGCATCCAGAGCTCTTATCTGTACCAGTGCACATGCTCTGGTCTGACTGGATTTGTAAGATAGAACTGGGGTCAGGATAGTGGTGGGAGGGGGGTGATCGGGAGGAAGCATTAAAGAATTAGAGGAATGTTGTATGCTTTGTCGGTGCTACACTGTACCCTGGCTGGCTCCTCCCTTCCTTGTGACCCTTCTGTGATGGGATGTCCAATTTTCTACCAATGGGCTTTGGGTCTCCATTCCGACTTTGCTCGTTTGCTTCGAAATGGTTCTTTGTTTTGGGTCTTTTGATGCCTGATACCTGATCCCATGGACACCTTGTGATCACACAGGTTGGTGTACTTCTTCCATGTGGGCTTTAAATTTATTTCCAATGTATGCGTTCCTTCTGTCTCTCAATCACTTGCTTGAAGAAATGATTTTTTTTCAGTAGAGTATCCTTGGTGAAGGGGCCCACATTAAGCACTTAGTGTGGAAGATGTGTGAGAGTTTTCTCTCATCAAGACCCCAGTCTTGGAAACGAAACCCAGGGGGACAATTTACTCTGTCTTGCAGGGTTGTTATGGGTCGGAATCAACTTGAGGGCAGTGGGGTTTGTTTTGTGGCTGTGGTTTGGTGTTTCCCGGGATTGGAGTTTGACTGCTTGTATCTCCTCCTTGTGTTTGTTAGATTGGAAACGACCACTGTCTTAACTTTCCTCCTAAAGTCAGGGTGAAGGTCATGGTCATGTGGTCGTGTCACAGGAAATAAAGTCATAACCAAGTAGCTGGAATAGTTACGCACAGTAAAAGTGTGGAGTGAGGTTAGAAAGAGTTGGTCCTATGTTCTGTGAGGTGTATCCGGGACCCTGTGCTCAGGGAAGGGGCAGGCCACCCCCAGGTAGACAAAATAGGTCCAGCCCCTGTTTTCTAGAAGCTCAGTGCCAAAAGGAAGTAACAACTATTCATCCTTCGGCAAGCTGGGACCAGGTACTGGCTGCAACACGTTGATTAAAGAGCTCTGTATGTTTCGGGGTGAGCTCCTCACCTT